TGTCCATGGTTGGCCATGCTGGTCTCGAACTCCCATGAAGCTCAGGTATCCGTCTGACTCGGCCCGTACCAAAGGGTTCTGAGATTTACAGGCTGACCCACCCACCGTTGGCAGTTTTTCTATGCCAATAAAAATTTTAATGTTCCATTGTTTAAGATAGGAAGGAGAGGCTAGGTGTGGTGGCTTCAACACCTGTTAAATGCCCAGCCACTTTGGGAGGCCGAGGTGAGGTGGTCACCTGAGGCAGGAGTATCGAGACATCGCCATGACCAACATGGTGCCCCATCAATCACTACTAAACCATACAAAAATTAGCTGGGCTGTGCGTGGCGGAACCACCTGTAATCCCAGCTACTCGGAAGGCCTAAGGCAGGAAAATCGCTTGAAACCTGGAAGGTGAAGGGTTGCAAGGAGCCGAGATCAAGCCACTGACTCCAAGCCTGGGGACAGGGTGTAGACTCCGTCTCAAAAAAAAAAAAAAAAAAAGAAAAATAACAAATAGTTCCCACATTTTAATTGAATGGCGCTGTGTATTTTCTTCACTGATTTAAAATGCCCTTTTGGCAGGTATGTGGCACACGCCTTATTTCCCACCCTTTGCGGAGGAGGCCAAGGCAGGAGAATCATTTGTGGGCTCAGGAGTTTCGAGACCAGCCTTTGGCAACATAGTGAGACCCCTGTCTCCAAAAAAAAAAAAAAAAAAAAAAAGCCACTTTTTCCTCCAGAGTTTCTATGCCATTTTTGCTTGTTTGGTTTTAACTGGCAGGCCCGGGGATTAAATCTACAATATGGAGTAATGTAGGGTTTCAGGGTAGGTATTTAGGATTTGTTGAGGGGTAGTAGCGAGAAAAGGAAGGCTCGTTTAGCCTTACCCACTCATTTCTTTTTGATGCCCCAATTTCCCTTGCCATTGTCACTTTTAGGATGTGCAGCTTATGTGCTTCTGGATATGGACTTATCAGCGATACTTCTTTCTTGTGGATTCGATATCATCACAAAGTGGCTTGGATGGAAGGGGAGAGGGGGGCTGGAATATAAAATATTGCTTCTATGTGTATTTTTCACCTATTAACACTATTAGAGATAATTTTTTAGGCCCAGGCTGGGCTGGCCATTGCCTAGTTAATCATAGCACTTTGGGCAGGCTGAGGCGGGCAGGCAGATCCACCCTGATGTTCAGGAGCTTCAGAAGGCCACTGGCCAACAGTGCGCGAACCTCTTACACTAAAAAATACACAAAATTAAGCCTGGCCGTGGGTGGCTGCCATGCCTGTAATCCCACCTACTCTGGGAGGGTGAAGGCATGAACGATCAATTGACCCAGGAGGCAGCAGGTTCGTAGTGTGAACTGAAAGATGCGTGCCACTGCACTCCATCCAGCCCTGCGGCCGATGGAAGTGAGACTGTCTCAAAAAAAAAAAATTTTCGTTTTAAAGCAGGCGACATAAAGCATTGATTTCTGTTTTCCGAATTTCGCAGCTCTTTGCTAACTTTATTGGTTTGCCATTCAGGCAGCAGTCTCCAGCCTGTTCTATTTATACTGTACAGATTCACCTGAAACTTTTTTCACAGTTCTGCGAGCAAGTCTGCGGGGGCTCACCCCTTAGAGGCATCATTCCGCTAGAGCTGGCACGATAACGGTATTATCTTTATATATATATAACTTCTTTTTGAACGACCGGAGTCTCGCTCCTGTCCGCGCCAGGCCTGGAGTGCAGTGTGTGATTCAGCCACTGCAGCTCCGCCTCCTGGGTTTCACCCGCCATTCTCCTGCCTCAGCCTCCCGAGTAGCCTGGGACTAACAGGCGTCCACCCACCACGCCCGGCTATTTTCTTTTGTATTTTTACGTACAGAGACGGGGATTTCACCGTGTTAGCGGGATGGTCTCGATCTCCCGACCTCGTGATCCCGCCGCCTCTGCCTCCGTAAAGTATTTTTTTTTTTTGAGCACAGTGTCTCACTCTGGCCACCCAGAGCTGGAGTGGCAGTGTGTGCGATCGTCAGCTCGAACTGCAATCCTCTGCCTCCAGGTTCAAAGTGATTTCTCCTGTCCTGCCTCAGCCTCCCGTGTAGCCGGAAATTACAGGTGCACGCCACCACACCTAGCTAGCCTTTTTGTATTTCAGAGAGATGGGGTTATCACCATGTTGGGCCAGTCCCTGGATCTCCAAACTCCAGACCCTCGACGATGCTGCCCACCTCGGCCTCCCAAAAGTGCCTGGGATTACAGGTGTGAGCCACTGTTGCCCTGGCCGTTGGTTTTATCTTTTTAATTTTAAAAAAGGAAGGCTAAACATGCCTATTGAAATTAGTAAGACCTCTGCCGGTGGTGCCTTAAGTTTTTTTTTGGCTAGCCTGAGAAGGGGTTCCATACGTTGTCTTGAACTGATGACAGTTCTTTGGTTACAGGAATGATTAAATTTGAAATAGGTCTGACTTTGAGGTAGCAGAACTCAGGTGATCCTGCGACCGTGTTCTAATTGTACCCATGGTGCATTAGTTGGCTGTTAAGGTCAGTTAATTCCACAGAAAAAATCAAGTGGGTTTTTTTTTAGTGGGGAATGGGGGAGGGAAGGAACACCATGTCAAATATAGAAAAGTCAAATTAGAACCTCTGCCATCTTTTGGCAAACAGGCTTTCATTAGTAGCGAGAAAAGGAAGGCTCTTTAGCCTTACCACTGCATTTCTTTTTGATGCCCCAATTTCCCTTGCCATTGTCACTTTTAGGATGGCAGCTTATGTGCTTCTGGATATGGACTTATCAGGATACTTCTTTCTTGTGGATTCGATATCATCACAAAGTGGCTTGGATGGGAAGGGGAGGGGGGCTGGAATATAAAATATTGCTTCTATGTGTATTTTTCACCCTTTACATATTAGAGATAATTTTTTAGGCCAGGTGTGGTGGCTCATGCCTGTAATCATAGCACTTTGGGAGGCTGAGGCGGGCAGGCAGATCACCTGATGTCAGGAGCTTGAGACCAGCCTGGCCAACGTGGCGAAACCTCTCTACTAAAAATACAAAAATTAGCTGGGCGTGGTGGTGCATGCCTGTAATCCCAACTACTTGGGAGGGTGAGGCAGAAGAATCACTTGAACCCAGGAGGCAGAGGTTGTAGTGAACTGAGATGGTGCCACTGCACCCCACCCTGGGCAACAGAGTGAGTGAGACTCCATCTCAAAAAAAAAAAAAAAAAAAGAAAAATAACAAATAGTTCCCACATTTTAATTGAATGGCTGTGTTATTTCTTCACTGATTTAAAATGCCCCTTTTGGCAGGTATGTGGCACACGCCTGTATTTCCCACCCTTTGGGAGGAGGCCAAGGCAGGAGAATCATTTGTGCTCAGGAGTTCGAGACCAGCCTTGGCAACATAGTGAGACCCTGTCTCCCAAAAAAAAAAAAAAAAAAAAAAGCCACTTTTCTCCAGAGTTTATGCCATTTTTGCTTGTTTGTTTTAACTGGCAGGCCGGGGATTAAAATCTACAATATGGAGTAATGTAGGTTTAGGGTAGGTATTAGGATTTGTTGAGGGTTTAGCCTTAACCCACTCGCATTTCTTTTTGATGCCCCAATATTTCCTTGCCATTTGTCCACTTTTAGGAATGCAGCTTATGTGCTTCTGGATATGGACCTTATCAAGCGAATACTTTCTTTCTTGTGGATTCGATATCATCACAAAGTGGCTGGATGGAGGGGGAAGCGGGGGCTGGCAATATAAAATACTTGCGTTTCTACCATGTGTATTTTTC